TTTTCTTGCCCACTATCCCTTGAATCCCTACCCACATTTGCTTCATCCTCCCCTCAAAATCTTCGTTAGTCTTTTGGACTACTTGCTCCCACAACGCTTTCTTCTTCTTCACCACCAACTCCTTCACCCTCTTTCTATTTTCGACATACTCCTTCCATCCTGCATCGGTTTTCCCTGCCGCATATTTTGCGTGTGACTCTCCACGTACTCGTATTGCTTGCTTGATTTCTTCGTCCTACCACTTCACTGCTCTCTTACAAACTATCAACTTTCTACCGAGAACTCTACTTGCCGTTGTGTTTTCCAGCTTTTCCCACCCTTCTATGATTCTAGATCCGGCCTGGTCCCGACCTTTGGCATCCTTCGGTGTGCCCATTGCCTCTATCAACTCCGAGAGTTTCTTGTCCTTTACAGCCATCTCTTCTTGGGGGAGGGGGGGGGAGGGTGTACTCATAGTTGTACTCACAGTCGTGCATGCCGTAGTCGTTAGACCATTGACCTCGCATCCCTACAAAGCCGGGACGGAGCACGCCGGGTTCTCACCGGACCAGGCTCTCACATCACCANGGGGGGGGGGGGGGATTGTCGTTATTATCTCCGGTGTTTGTGGAGGTTGACGACGCAGGCACCGTCTCGTTCAAAATGAGGAGGCGTGAATCTCGGTGGGGGCGACGGGGATGTGGTGAAGAAGCAGTCCATGATGATGGACCGTGGAGGGGGGGGGTCGTTGGATGCACAGGCGCATCACAAGGCTGTCACACACGGACGGATGGAGAGGCAGGGCGAGGGCTCGAAAGGGGTCGGTCGATTTGGTCTTGGCGTGGAGGCACCTATCGTAGTGTGCCATGTGTCTCTTTCTAAGCGAGAGAGAGCGGAACACACACAGTCAGACAGACAGACAGAGCGATGGCGGGGGGCGTGGAATACCGGGGCGGGCAGTAGTGCGACTGGGTGTCTCGTCTAGGAGAGGACCTCGTGGCCTTCAACATGGGAGACGAAAAGGAAGGGGGCAAATGGAAAGAGAGCGCCAAGGAC